ATATTTTATAATTTTATTATCACACAATAATTCATTCATTTGTACCCCAGTGACATTATATCTTGGTATGTGGACAAAATAAGTCCAAAACATCACTTTTCCAAGTGAATAAAAAAATATACTTGAATTGTATTTTCTTTCTGTCAACTTTCGACATATTTAATATCAAGATCCTCATCACCATTTATAATTCTAAGCGCTATATTATATTAAAGATATCGTCGACGGTTTATTTGATATCGATTCAATCAGAGGCGAACCTAGGATTTGAAGAGTCTGGGTGAACCAATAATATTTTAGTATAAGCGAAGAAAAATTTTCAATGCTTAATGGACGCTTGACTTTGTAATAAAAAGAGTTGTTGACCAGGGTTGAACCTGGGTCTCAAGGAGGTATTTCCCCACTTCTACTAACAGACTAAAGGCAGTTCAATGTTCATTAAGGGTGCACTTTTTATTATATTTCTTTTTCTATCAATTTCTCAAGATATATATATATATATACACATGATTTTTTTCGAAGTTGACGGGTGCACGTGCACCCCCACCTTTACATGTGGGTCCGCCCCTGATTCTAATTAGACATAACTTATCAAACTTTCTTTATTTTCCATCATTTTCAGGTACTTGAACCTTTGCCAAGGTTTTATGAAGTGTCATGGTGCTATTTCTAAAGCACTTGCCTCATCATTATGACCATCTTGATCATTTGCTCCTCTTCTTTTTCTTCTTCCAGATATTTTATCTTTCTAATTGAATTATCTATTACGCTTCAGGCGTACCATAAATTATGTCCTTCAAAGATTTTTCTTTGGAGCATTTATAACTGGATTATAACATAGGGTCAGTGAATGTGTCTGACAATTGATTTAAATTATTTTTTCAACGAGGATCATACCAATACCAAAAATAATTCATTATGTATAAATTATTTTCCAGTTGCTTATCATTCCTCCCCCTAATGTTAGAGAATCTAACATTCGCCCAACCTTATTTGGGGAATCATCTTTGTGCATTGTGTAATGGTGGAGCAATGGAATTATATATCACATATTTAAATTTTTAGATAAGAATTATTTGGTTCCTGACCCTGAACCAATTGTGATAGGGGAACCTTGTTGGCTTGATACGTACAAGTGTTGCTACGCTTTAAATAACACATCTTATACCAAATTCCTTTGGGGAGTTTTGTTCTCATAACCAATGGTTTAGTTATAATTGGAGGCATATAATTTCTGCTTAAACCACTTGGATATTAACCAACATCATCACTATAATTTTAGAATTTGAAATGTGCTCTTGATTTAAATTCAAGCAAACAACCTCTGCAAAAATCAAATTGCAAGTTGATGATAAAGTGCATGTGACCATAGCATAGATGCATCTATATAATAGTATATGGTTCACATGACAGGTGAACATGCCCATATTCACCTTTTTATATATTTCAAAATTTTGGGAGATACAATCTCAACCTTAGCTGGTACAGTGATAATTTTATCATGAGAACAAACAACGCAAGAGAATTCTTGAAGAATTTATTATTTCTTCAATATACATAACCACATGAATTCTCATTTATTTTCGTATTGTATTTGAACCGGGATGGTCATCAACCGATCATGTCAATTGATATTTATTTCAATAAACTTCTAGTTTATTTTGCATATGATTCCATCATCATACTCATATTTAGTTACCACAAAAAACATGAAAAAAGGGGCAATCTTTCACATAAATATTTATAACCCACTTTGATTATAGTAATATGAAGATCTTAAATCATTCCATAATTTATAGTCTCAATATTATTATTTTTTACTATTTCTTTGAAACTTAAAAAGTTTCATTCGAGACTTACTACAATTTCAATATCATGAGCAATTTTATTTCTTTGAGTAGTAACACAATAGCTCACCAAAGCTCACAATTGACATTTGATACTACCACATATTTCATAACATTGTTTTTGTGGTGAACATCTCTTTCAAGGAGAAATCTATATCATTATTGTCATGGTCAAAATCATTACAAGCAAAACTTGTTTCTTGATTTACTTTTATCATTAATATCTCCTCCCTTTTGTTTAATATTTGGCAAAATATTTTTGACGTACAGAGATACATATTCAATGACAATTTTTTGTGGTCAAGAATTATTTCTTCTTTTGTCATTTTGATAGTTCATAATAAAACGTATCACACTATTTGTGATGTACTAAAAGTACTTGACCAATGACCATTTGTACCAACATAAAATTTGTTTATTTCTCTCTAACCTCTCATAGAGGTGAGTTGTGATATTTATTAAATCATACATGAGCATGTCCGTATTTATAATTTTCATCATTTCTTGACACATTCATTTTCAAGAATGGTCCACTTTTCATGATACTTGCCACAAGTCACATTCTCTTCAAGGAATTGACCATAATCATATATACATGCTTCATAATTATTCCTTTCATTAGAAGTTCATTGTCATGCTTTGAAATTTATTATATTCATATGACATACCTCGACATCACCTTTGAAAGTCAAGTGTATCACCACTTTTTTATCCTTTTCTTTGATGGAGGATTTATAAAACTTATCAAATTATTAGGTCTCATATCAAACATGTTTCTAATGACCTTTCATACCATTTTGATGACATTCATATTTTGAAGGACTATTTGGAAAAATTACAGTGTTCTTTATTTTTACCACAATGATGACTATTATTAATTTGTCTTTTGTCACACCCACATTCATTATACAGTCTCAATAGTCATCTTTTAGGCTTATCATGTACTGCTACCACATTCATTTTTGAGAATGGAGCAAAATCATGTGTTTCATAATTTTCATCAAGAGCACGTTAGTTTGCTCAGTCATCATTATGTCATCACTATGGTGCATTAGGACTTAAATCCAACATCTTACCCTCTTGATTCGATGAAACTTGAATTCATCATTTTACCCTTAACCAATGAGGTAATAAGTCAAGGTGTAACATGATTCACTCATAATCCTTTAAAAGAATATTATGTTCACTTATAGAAACAAAATAAATTTGCTCTTTTATACTTCAATTCTCTTCTCTCTTTTGAAACAAAATTGTTAGAATTACATAAATCAAAGTTTAAAAATTGTTAGAGCCAAACAAATTAATGTATTCAATCTCTTTATATAACACATGCAATACAGTAAGTTATTAATATATAAAACATTCAATGTAAAAGTTGAAACAAAGGCTTAAAATAATTTCTTCATATTCTAGTAGAAATAATACTAAGACAAATTATTTTCAAGTTATATATAGTCCCTCCCTTTTTTCGCAGTAGTACAATTCCTTTACAAGAAGGGAGTAGAGTTGTTTTAATATTTGCAACTTTCCTTCAGTAACCCACATCACCTTTATAAGGAAAAATAATATAGGATTTTCAAAACGGAGAATATGCAATTAGATCTCAACAGACATAAGAATTGAACAATAATATCATTCTTTTTGTAAATTAAGAAGCCTTTCCACCAATTTATTGATAAGTATATGACTTAATATGAATCTTATGTAAGGCACCTATTAATTGCATGCATTATAAATATATTGATGATAAAAATCAAATCCTTTCGATCTTTGGTTCTAAAGAAAGTAATTACTTCATAGCAAAAATCAAATTCAAACTTGACTTACCTTGACTCTCATATTACAATTTTTTTTGTATAAATAAATATATAAAAGCCACGATAAATTATCCATGGTGGCAAATTGCAATATCAAGATCTTCAAGAATCATACTCTATTATCACAAGAACAAGAAACAATCCAACAACTTGATTAAATTCTTAAAACTCATAGTATATATTATTGGCCTTTTTAACTTAAAGAATAATGTTAAAGAACTTACTAGCAATGATTCAATTAGTCCAATAATTTAATCTCACCTAAAAAAATATAGCCGATTAAAAGTAACTATAGATTCATCAAAAAAAGATCAGGAACAAATGAATTTTAGGGAAGAATATAAGAGAATGGAATCAATATGAGATTATATCAAACATATTACTTTTAATCACCCAAATCAATAAATTTTATAAACTACTCAATAATGATATCTTATTTTTTTTCTTAGTGAAGAAATTAAATTAAAAAAACCTTTGGAGTAAGAGATCAACATGTGATTAGAAGTTCGTGCTAATAACGTGTTATAAAATAAAGACAAAATACTAAAATCATAAGAAAGATGAAAAATAGTATGTGTAGTAATTTATGTCACTTACTCTTGCCCTTTTTTTTTTACAAGAATAGGGGTATATATAGTTGTATTACTTGTGCCCAAAGTGTAATACATGGATATCATCTTGCCATGTATATATTTGGGAACCAAGTATATCAAATGGCTAATTAATATACACCACATAGCATTTATTAGTGTGGACATCCAATTTACAGCAGAAACACATTTTTCCACACTCTTTCCATCTGTTACTAACATCAAATTTACAAGTTATGGTGGCTTCGTTTCAATTTATTTATGGTACTATTTTTTCTAGTCTACTTAAAGAAGTAATTTTTTATTTTTGGCATTTTCTTAATTTTAATTTTTGATATATTAAATTTAAAATGATAAGATTCAAATCTTAAGAGTAAATTTCATGACAAACAAATATTTAAAAATAAATCTTTAGAATATATGATCAAACACTAGTTTCAACTCGTATTTAATTAGACTCAAGAACTTAACATATCCAATACTTGAAATTTGAATCAAACAATTAGAGAGAAAAGGATGAAATAAAATGAATATTTGCTTCTTAACAAAGTAGTAATATACAATTTGATTTTTCACATAAGAACACATAAATTGTAAGGTCCCTTTCGGGTTATCCTTTACACTTTACTTTCACCAAACTAAAAAAAAAAAAAAAAAAACTAACACACCTTTTTTCACACATTTTCCATTTTTCTTTAAATTAAAAATACCCACCATAAATTTTGACCTTTTTTCCAAAATAATATGTAATTTATCTGTTTACAGCACGAGTAGAAATCCAGTGACACCTCGCCGTCGGTGATCCACCGGAAACCATTGATCTCTTACCGGCGGCGACTGATGAAGAAGAAGCTGACGACGAATTCATCGAAAACTCATTATCCGGTGACCCGAATAACTGTATATCCGAAGAATTCTCAAACCGACCCGACCCGCCTGGAAGTCTCATGTAAGAACCCAATAACGGCGAATCATTATTCATCCATCTTGGTGAACCAGTAGCAATTTGGCCTCCATTTTTGTAATCCATTATTGCTTTGTAAACAAATGGAATTAATCCTTCCATTTTTTTTAAAAAAAATATTGGATTTTTTTTTAAATTTTGGTAGTTCAGTTTTATTTATTTTTGGTAATTTGGAGAATTTTGGAAAGGGAAGAGGGGTTTTTAAAAGAAGAGGAGGGTGACGTGGCGTAGTGGTTAGAGTCCAGCTGTCAATTCTTAGTCAAGCTGACAATCAAGCACGATTTTAAAAAAAAAAACGCGAGGCACGATCAGTAAGGTAAATAAACCAACGAGAGCGGTAAGTACTCCTTCATTCTTTACTAATAGGTTTTGGTATCGAGTTTTTTTGAGTACGAAATCGCCTTTATTAGAAAGTGTTTTATCCTATTATGAATTTTTTGACGCAAATTCAAATTTAATTGGGCTTCAATGTGGGGTGGAAAACCAAAAAAAAAAAGTAAGGTAAATAATATGAAAAAGTTAAGGTCCTATATTTATTGAAGTAATAACTTTTTCAAAAAAAATTATAAGTAGTATTTAATAATAATTTGAGAATTTTTGTTTTTATTTATAATAGATACGCATATATATTTATTATTCGAATAGATATAGGTGGATAGAAATATTGTGTATGTGTGGAGTAGGGGTGTGCAAAAACCGATTTAACCAATAAACCGAACCGAAAAAAACACTATTGGTTTATTGATATTGGGTTATTGGGCTAACGGTTTTTAAACGGTTTTGCAAATTTTTTTATTGGGTTATTGGTTCGGTTTTCGGTTTTATAATTTTTGTTAATGGTTAAACCGATAACCCAATAAGACTATACTAAATTTACTAGTCTTATTGTTAATGGTTAAACGATTGTTACTTTCACACTTTTTGTTAATGGTTAAACGATTATTACTTTCACACTTTTTCCTTTGAATGTGTCTAGTGTCTAAACTTGCAAGAAAAATGATTGTTACTTTTATGATTATTACTTTCATGCCAAATGCTGGAGAAATCATATGGTTTATTTGAAAATTTTCTTATAGTGTATATAATATATATGAGTATTTTCTTATTGGTTAAACCGAAAACCGAACCGTTAAGTACCATAAACCGATTAACCAAAAACCGATAAGAAATATGTTATTGGTTTGGTTATCGGTTTGAAGTATTTACAAACCGAAAACCGATAAACCGAACCAATAACACCTAAAACCGAACCGAACCGACCGATGCGCACCCCTAGACTGTGGTGTGGAGATATTAAGCGTGTAAATACGATGTATCTCAGTATATATATATGTGTGTGTGGAGATATACTTCACTCAAAGCGATCTCACTTTCATTGTTACCATTTTCCTTTTATCACTACTTTCTTTATTTTTGTTAGTATAAGATTGTTAACCCTCAACCGTTATTACAATATTACTGCTAATGGATTTGAATTTAAATATCGTGTACCTGAATTTTCTTTAACATTAGAAAGTTGATTTGGAGTACTTTTGATATCATTATTGATAATTATTTGTGAAGAATAATTGGTAGGGGAATAATTTCGATGATGAGAATTTAATTTGATGGTATAATTATCAATTATGTAAGTTTTAAGTAAGATGATTGAAAATTCCAAGATAGAGAAAAACATTGTGTTAGAAAATTCTAAGCACTGAAGAAACGATCGTGTTGCTACCAAAAGAGGGACTCTCTAAATTATTCCACAGAGTTCAGAGACAATTCTGATCATTTTTTTCTTATAAAAAGATTTGTGTAGAAAAAATTTCATCGCTAATAAATAAGAATGTATCTAGATTAATAATAAGAGTAAATATGCGCCAACTTATTAATGATGAGTAAACTTGAACTATTTCGCAAAACAATGACAAATTCAAATATTTTCCCTACATTCATTAGCGAGTTACTAGTGTGTATTCTAATTAATTAAATCAACAAAATATATAATAAATAATATATTAGCTAAAATAAAATAAATATTAAAAGAAAGATAGAAGAGAGAGATTTTCCAAGTAATAAAACATTGAATAAAAAATTTCAAATGAAAGCTACTTCCAAACTAATTAACTTTATCCAAAAATTTAGTTATGTTGTAATCGTAGACTACCCTATTTTTTAATTATTACCATGGTATTTAATAATTAGTTTAATTACGTGAGGACACACTTAAGAACTAACGTAAATTATCTTGTTTTAAATTAATCAAGTAGGACCTACTTTAAATTTATACCATCGCTTATAATTGACATCTTTAAAGTAAGTTATACATCATCACTTAAATAAATCGTGTAAGGCACATAGTATAATTTTCCCAATCTATCACTTCTCACCAAATCTCACTTTATTATTCCTCTTAACACATTTTATAAGTAAGAGATATATAAATAAAATAACATAATATCATAAATAGAATATAGAGAGGGCGGTGTATATCAGGAGTTGAGCCAGGTAGGATTGAGAAGGAACCTTCTTCAGCAGAAATCACATTGTTTATATATAGTTAAAATTATTTTTTATGTATATATGGTAGATGTTAAATTTTCTTTGACTTCTTCATGAGTTCATTTCTTCATATTTGAAAAATATTAGTGAATTTTTTTAGATCGACATTGTGTGTACGCAATCTTACTACTACATTTTCTGACACACCTGATCAGCTCAAATAAAACATATTAAAAAATAAGTAAGATAAACATATAATAAAGAAATCCATACTAAAAACAATGGGGATAAAAACAACAGTAACGAATAAATGAATAATATAAACCAAAATTACTACTAATATAATAACTAAACCTAATCTGAATTAATTCCATTATTTTATTAATCCTTAAACTAATAGCCATGACTTCTTTTACTCGCTTCCAACTTCCATTGGCCTGTAATAATATTATTATTTATGTGGTAGTTATCATTCTAGTTTAAAATAATATTCCTCTCAATTTTATTTTATTTTTTTCAAATGTTTGAAATACTGTTTATTGGTCACTTTGACTCTATTTTCAAAAAATAATTATTTTCATTTAATTTTAAATTTTATCGATGAAATTTCAAGATAATATTATGAACCGTGAAAATTTGAAACTCCATAGCGATGCTTATTTTTATTGAGCAACTTTCACATACAGCAAACATAAAAATCAAATTTATATGCTATAGCTATAGTTTGAATAATATAATTTGATGGCTCCTCTTCAGATTTGTATAATTTCGCTAGCAGATCATTTGTATAAATTGATGTCAACCTCTCGTTTGTATAAATCGTTGGTAGCCTCTTAATTCAATTTTATGTATTTGTATATCTGCATAAAATTTGAATTTGTATACAATTGAATCGAAATTAAACGTTTGTATATCAAATGTCTCTCTCTCTCTCACTTTAGACAAACATAAATTATACATTGTATTTTGTATAATATGTGTTTGTATAAAGAGAAAAAGAGAGAAAGGCAAAAGAGAACTGGGCAGGGGAATATTTGTATTGTATAATTATTAGTGTATAGGACGAAGATATATGTATTCGCATGTGTATATACAATTTTCTCTCACTTTATACAAACAGAAACGCAATTTATACATTTCTGTTTGTATAAAGTGAGAGAGGCGAGGGAGAGACTGGCGAGCGAGAGGGGAGAGTGGCGAGCGAGAATTTCAGGGAGAGAGGCGGCTGGCAACAGTTTGCTACGGCGCACAATTAAATCAAATTGTGGTTATAGAATTTAATTTGAATTAATAGTTTGCCATTATATACAATTTTCCCTTTTTTTTTTTAATTACAAGAGTTGAAAACTTTGCGCTATTGACCCTCCATTTTTTTAAGTTATACAAAAAAGTGAGTTATTAATTTTGATAGTGGAAAATGAGTATATACGTGCCACATATGTGTATACAAGTTTTATAAAATAACATGAAATATTGAATATTGGTTAGTTGAAATGTAGCTTTTGATTACTTGGTGTCAACCATATCTTTATGAAATATTGATATATGATGATTGTATTGGAAGATTTCAAAAAGTGATAATACTTGCTGCCATTTTCATTAGAGCATATAACAGCTTAACCACAGCTTTACAAGCAATATTATTTTTTGCTATCTTTTTTCTTATTTAGGCTTTTTGAGAATGGAATCAACAAATGTGGAATTATAAAATTAAAAAAAATTGTTTGGCTTGAAGAGGAAATTTTCTAGACAAAGAGTTGTCACCTAATGACTCATAGATAGATCCATATTGACAAATTGGATGTTCTTGATTGAGCAAAGATGCAAATATAATGCTCAGCTTTACAATTTAGAGCAGATTATCTCTCGTAAAAGAAAATAGTATATATATGCATATAACACATAGTGCATATATATCATCGTCATCTAATAAATGTCGTATATTTACCTTTTTCGTTAACAGACTAATTTTTTTATTTAAAAAAATCTTTAAATTGATTTTTAAATTCTTTAAAAAGATCACCTTAATTATCAATTTTTTACTCACTCAAACCCAATCCATATTAAGAAAATCATAATCTCTCTTCTATTCAGACCTGATACAAATTCATTTTATGATTCTTCATTTGGATCGGGTCTAAAGGTGTAAAAAAGGGTGAAATATAAAAAAATTCAAGTCACGTGACATTTTTGAAATTAAAAACTTATTATTATATTTTTTTCAATTAAGTAAATATATATTAATGAAAAAGGTAAATATACATCATTTATTAGATGATAGGGTATATATGCATTATAATTTTTTTAGTAAAGAGTATATTCGCTCTAAATCGCAAAGTTAAAAGGGATATATTTGCCCCTTTTCCCTTCTTGATTTAGTTACGCTTGCTTTTTTATTTTTCTTTTATAGCAAAGAGGATGAATGTTTTTTTTATATATAAATATAAAAAACACTAAGAAATTTGATTCATAGTATCTTCAAGGAATAAAATTATTCCTATCTTGAAAATAATATAAAAAGTGAAATAATTTTCTAGTAAAATGTGTACTTTTTTGCATTGTGCTATGCACATATTTAAAAAGTATAGTCGCTTACACTGTACGTTAATCAAATTTCTTAATCCTTA